TTTTGAGGAACCTCCATACTGTTTTCCAGAGTGGCTGCACCAGGAAAGTGGCTTTTTAGAGAAAGTATGTTGAAGTAATAGAACACTAAAGAAAAATACATGAAATGTTAAGTATTAATATAGCTTTAAAAAATTTTTTTTCATTTTATTTATTTTAGAGAGCATGATCTGGAGAGAGGGGCAGAGGGAGGGAGCGAGGGAGGGGGGCGGAGAGAGAGAGAGAGAGAGAGAGAGAGAGAGAGAGAGAGAAAGAGAAAGAATCCCAAACAGGTTCCACGCTTAGCATGGATTAATCCCATGACCCTGGGATCATGACCTGAGCCAAAATCGAGACTTGGATGCTCAACCGACTGAGCCACCCAGGCGCCCCTGTATAGTTCTGTTAATTGTGTGCTGATATATTGTCCCAGTAGTGGAGATGACTATCATAGGACTCCATTTTGAAATATATTTTACTTTCTTGTTTCATGACAACACTAGAACTTGAGTTTAATGCACTGCCTGAGAATGGAGGATGCAGTTTGAGTATGCTAAATAATGGAGGGAAGCATAATCTGGGATTAAAAAGTAACCACAGGATACCAAATTAGAATGGGAGACATAAGTATGAACTCATGTTCAGTTTAAAGTATGTATCAACACATACAGAAACTATGTGTGTGTTAACACTTGGGTTAATGCACGTCCATATATTTCTCAGCTGTTTCCACTGAGAGGGCCTAGAAACAGTGACATACAGTAGCAGCAACTATCCCCAGTTACCAGATTTCGCTTTCTAAATCTTATTCTCCAATAAAAGAAGCAGGGCTCCTTAGACAAATAGCTGATTCTAGGGCTGGAGCAAGGAAAATACATGATGACCCCAGACCATCTTGCATGTAGTGCCAGAAGGTAGAGAAGTGCTCAAAAAAACCCCCACAAAATGATGGCCCATGTGAAAGCAGCATTAGAGCCAATCTAAAGACTTTCCAGGCTCAGCTTCCAGTGTCCAGAGCTGGACTAATTTAAGCAACAGAATAACCTAATACTTGATAATTACCCAAAGAGGAACATAAATATACGTAAGCCCATGCTGATATAGATAAGTGGTTGAATAAATAAGTGAATGGAAAAGAAGGAATAAATCTCGGGGAATTATTTCAAATATTTGTAGATACTTCCTTTCCCTCCATCCCCTCCCGTCAAAAACATCCTGTAGGATGGGCCGGAGTGAAAAATAGGTGGAAAAGAAAAATAGTAACTTTACAGTGGAGAAAACTGGCAAATACTACCATAACCAACTGTTAAAAGCTAATATCATCAGTGATATGTTGATATCATGTATCCTCTTTACCTCTGTGATACTTATTCTTCCCCCAAACCCATAATCCCAGTCTAAGCATGAGGAAAAGCATCAAACCCAAATTGAAGACAAACTACAAAATATGTGAACAGCGCTTAAAGAAAATTTCAAGGTCATGAAAACCAAGTAAAGGCTGAGAAACTGATGTTGACTAGATGAGCCTAACACGACATGTGATCAAATATATCGTGGTATCTTGGGTTGGAATCTGGAACAAAAAATCGGTATTAGTGAAAAAGCTGATGAAATCTTCATAAAGTCATTGGTTTAGTTTTGACAAGTGTAATATGGATATGCAAGATGCAACATTAGGAGAAACAATGAAGGGGATATGGGAGCTCTGTGTACTACCTTTGTAATTCTTTCAAGTTTATTTTTGAGAGAGCGCATGAGTGAGTGTGGGGCAGAGAGAGAGGTTGAGAGAGAGAATCTCATGCAGGCTCCACACTGTCAGCACAGAGCCCAAAGTGGGGCTCAAGTTGACCTGAAGTGGAGCTTGGGCTTACCCAAAGTGGGGCTGGAACCATGAGATCTTGAGCCGAAGTCGGATGCTTAACTAACTGAGCTACCCAGGCACCCTGAAAGTTAAATTTTTATTGAAAAATTAGCCAGAGGCAGTCAATAGCAGTAGATAATTAGATAGTTGACTTCAGATGTGAAGATTCAAGGGAAAGTTGTAATTTATAATTCACTGTCCACCTGTAAATAAGCCTTTTATGCCTAATGTACTGTTACTTTAAGATATGTATGTTATTTGTAAATCTGAGACTATGAAGTGGATGGTAGAACTACTGAGGCTTCAAAATTCACATCCCTGTTATAGTTTCAGATAGCTATATTGAAGGGCATTGATATTCCAGTTGGGCTGGAAGGTTAAATCATTTTTGCAGACTATTGAAAACAGACTTTATAGACACTAAATTTGTTTTGTGACAAACTGTTCATTTCATTGTCTCTTTGCAGTTATTTCATCTTTACTTGATTTAAAAAATATTTTACAAAGAATGTAGAACAAGGATCCATGAACTTAGGTATAGAATGTTACCATTTTGTCATTGTTGCTTTAGAGTGTTACTTTTATAATAGAACATTACAGATAAAATTGAGTTCTTTGTTACCTCCTCTTATCATTTCCCTCTCCTCCCAACCTCCATATTCTGAAATTAAATGTATCCTTCTAATATATATTTATCTGTGCATAAACAAATAGTATTTTGTGTGATTTAGACATTGACATAATTATTGTGTCATATTGTGACTTTTTAAAATTTAATATGCCTTTCAATGTGATACATAACATTGTGTTTTTATGACACTGTGCAGTTAGCTCATA